GACTTTGTTTTGGTGTTAATATTTAGCGAAATACATCACGTTTTGCTTAACATATTCAAATTTTACTACATTAGGTCTCTGGAACGTTTGAATGAGTTTGTACGAGTATTAATGCAACTGCTCACATTCAAAAAACTACAACATTTCAACAGTCATTGAAGAAGAATTGAGTTTTTGAAGAATTTTTGTTTTGAAAAAGTGTTGAAGAATAAATTTGATTCAGAAAAAACTGCTTTAATAATGTAAGTGTAGGAGATCGTAAACGAACAGTTACTATTACCGAAAATTCAAAAAGACAGTATGCTCTATTCCAGCAACAAAATATTGTTTTTAATTGCAGCCATTTTTAAGAAAAATTTGAAATTGTCTGAGGGTTTCATATGAAGTACCCATAAATATTTAAAACTTAGTTTCGAATTCCCAGTTTTTCATTCCCGCTCTCTCGATCGGGAAATATTTATTGAAAAATATTTTGTACGTTTTAGGCGCATATTTAAAACACCCCCTCGATATCGCGGACCTCCAAGTCGAATTTTTGTGAACATTTTGCCATCGATTTTTTCTCTCGAAAGAACGAGTGTTCTTCTGATAAGAACGGGTTACTCAGCGTGTAATAAAGTAATATATTTTATTATTTTATCTTGTTCACTAGAAAATAAACTCAAATAAAATTTTATAAAGTTATGAACATTCCCACGATATTGTACGGTTCGGAAACATGGGCACTTAAAGTAAATTACCACAGACATAGAAACATCAGAAACGAAAACTCTTCGATAAGTAAAAGGTTGCACACTATTAGATTACATTAGGAATGACAAAATTAATCAAGGCTTACGAGAGCAACCAATAAAAGAAATTGTAACATATTACAAAAGAAGATGAAAATGACATGTAATGCGTATGGCGCCAGGAAGAATCCCCCCAAGAAGATCCTGAATTACAGACCTTCGGAAGAACAAATGCTGGCCGACCGAGGACATTATGGAGAAGCTGAAACAGGCAAACATGCATAATCCTGGAATTCTCCAGGGGAATATTTTATTCATAATGTTGAAGACGCTTCTTAATGAACAATAGTATGCTGTTGCAATACCTCAGAGAAAAAAATGTATCTTCTCTCCCGGACGCTCCGGTCTTCGGCCCACGCGCTCCTGGCAGTAACTAAGAAAACTATCGGTCCTGTCCTAACCAATCTTTATTTTGTATTTCACTAAACATTAAAACAAAATATTCGTCATCGTTTGTGAGGTAATATTTTTCTCTCGTAGATATTTATTTTTTGATTGATTTATTCCGGGCTCGTTATCTGCTACGGTTTTCAATTCCGTAAGTGGTAATATCTTCATCTTCGTTCCGAGAGTTAGTATATTCCTCTTGTAGATACTGGCTTTTTGATAAATTTACTAATTCGCGGGTCATCAACTGCTAAGATCATAAGTTACGCATGCTTTTATCATGAGAGGTGGTGATCTTCCCCCTCTGGATGGCGAGATCCTGAGCCGACGTATGTCGGCTTGGGGGCATTTTTCCCAATGAGGTATCTCCTACCAGCGTGACACCGCCCCCGCCAGGACAAGCTCTAAACTCCCGATTGGTCTCTCCAGTAAGTAATATAATGAATGCCAGTGTGTGTGTGTGTGTGTGTATGTAAGTAAGTAAGGGCTGAGGATAGGACAAGGAAGAGGAAGGAAAGTCGCACGAAGCCCGTTTGTGAGGGTACTGCTTCGGTATTCACCTGACATTGAGAAACCACGGAAAACTACCGATCAGTGCAGCTGGCCGCTAGAATTCTCCTCCAGCGAGGAGCTGAATTCGACCTTGCTGTGAAGCCCGAATCGAAAACGCTGCCACCGTCGGCGCTCGAACCCTAGGTCCTCCCGATCAGAGGCACTGCTGTGACTCACTTGATGCAATAAGCCAACTTTGCCGATCTCTCGTAAATAAAAACTCTTTATCGCCTAGTATAACAAATTACTCTAAAATATGATTTTTTATTTTGCAAATTCCAGTTGTTTAATTTAGTTATAAACATTAGTTATTCAACATTAATGTATATAAGAGAAGCAAAAGTAGTTCTTACTTTCTGTTCTTGGCCTAATAACACAGCTAAAAATGGTAAATTGTTGATTATAATTTACTTTTCATTTAATACTTTTCCAAACCAATTTAATCGAAAATGTTTGTTATTGTTGCATAAAATCAGCTGTTTTACTATTTATTTATCTCTTTAAGTTTTCTTCATGATTTTTCTTTTACTTCTTCCCAATGACGTTGCGGCCCAAATTGCATTTTCAAAATCATGAGGGATGAATCCTATGGTGGATGGGTTACGTGGTGATGACTTGGAAGTGGATTTTAATGAAATACCATTTTTTTAATTTTCAGATTATAAAAACGCCGTTTAGTATAGATAAGTTATTTTTGTATAGATTTTAGTATAGATAAGTTATTTTTGGTTAAGTAGGCCTTTGGCCCGAGTGGTTGGAAATCGCCTGAGGGGGTAAAAAACATCTAGTAACGCCCGTGATGCATACAAAACTTTATGGTTTACCAGTTCGTTGCTGAACCAAACGAGAATTCGAAACATTTTATAATATTTATTGCGTCTAAAGTGAAAAAAAGAATTGTAATAGTCATTTTTCAATATGACGTCAGTTAAACAAAACAGTGAGTACCTAATTGCTATTGCATAATCGTTACTGGTCTGATTTTTTCGTACAGAATGTAAGAATATTGTGGAGTTCCCGCGTAAATTCTCGCAAAAACTAGTGTTATCCTGTAAAATCTTGAGAATAAATGAAAATATTTATGGTGTATTTGAGAGTTATATAAGTGTGATTAACACTGTAAATTGCCCTGATGAAACGTTACTTGTAGGGTATTTGCCTCTATTGCCAAAGGTTATTTAGAATATGTCATAACACTAAAAAATATAATTTCGAGGATGTTACCTAATGAGCCTTATACTCTTACTACTACTAGTACTGCTATTAAAGAACAATATATGTCTCTAAAATGGTGATACGTAACAGTGACATGTGAGTGACTGATGGCAATTATAAATTCATGGGAATATGCCAAAATTGCAATTTTCATGTCAATTAAGCAAAATAAGATTTATAACGAGTTATTTTAGCACTATGCCATTTATTCGATCACTATGCCATTGATTTACTGTATTTTATTTGCATCTTTACTTTAATAAATCCAATTCATAAAAATATTGTATGTGTTTTGTTACTATTAGATCGGGCCATAAAATATTCAAAAGTGCGAGGGCATAAAGGAACAGAAAGGCCCGTTAGGTTATTAACAATACCGTTACGTGTTTTGTTTCAGATCCGTAAACACACAGCAATGAACTGGTAAACCGTTAATTTTTTGTGTTATGACTAAAGTAAATGACCCATTTAATGTCATTTTTTGTATTTTTCGTTTATTTCGACTAATAAGTCATTTTTAATGCATTTTTCGCTGATTTAATCGATTTTAATATTATTCTAGTGGTTCTAGCTTCAAATACTATTTAACTATTCCAGGAGCCCTTAGCAACAACACTGACTAGTTGTAAATTGACTACTGGGCAAAAGAAGATAACCAAAGACAAATAACGTAGCCCATGCATAAACTGAAATATCTATCAGACGCTAGAATTCTCCACCAGACAGCGTCTGAATTCGATTAAGCTGACAAACTAGTTTCGGAAATCCTGCCACCGTCGGGACACGCACCTAGGACCTTCCGGTCAGAGGGTCTGCAGTGACATCAGTTTTATGCCCTGAGCCATCTCCCCCGTATTTTGTTTTTTTTTTTGTTTGTTTTGTTTTTTGCTCGACATAAAGGTAATTTATAAACTCTTTTTTTTTTCTAAAAAATACTTCATTTTTTCTTCAGATAATTTCTCAGAGAGTGCAATTATCGCTTACATTACGCACTCTTATAATTTTCGTTGAACTCTTTAAATTCCTTAAAATTGCTAGTTTCTAATGTATTCAGTACATAAGAATTTTTTTCTTCTATTCGTGTCTTATTACATCTAAAAAATATTAAAATGCCCTTTTATACATGTCATCATTTTTGAATCGATCATACACTTTTTTTAAATTCTTCATACTTTTAAAACTAATCGATAAGTCTTATCAAATTTTATTTCCATGAATTTCATAGCGAGCTGCAGCTCAGTAACTTGAGACTTCGTGCAGCAGAACCTGAAAACAACAATATTTCTGTGTATTACAGAATAAAGGAGTAAAAAGTAAAATTGAGCGGGCTATGAAATTCGTGATTTTTAAACTAAAACTATTGTTTCTTAGGATGACGCAGAGGATGTGGAGTAGGTCATTTTTAAATTTCACCTAAACCGTTCTATAGAGGACATTTCCATTTTTCAAGGAAACCTTTTCATTTATTTTGAGGAAATTGTTGGAAGACTTTTTGGTATGATCATTTAATTTTGGCTCATTTTTTTCGAATTTTCCGGTGGCTCGTTCTTTGATCAGGGCATGTTAAGCTTTTTATGCTTTATTTTGAAAATTATTTTCTTTTACACCTATTTTATATAATCCTTTAAATAACCAAAACTATTCTCACAATATCAGCCGTATGTCTAAAATGATGTGATTTTTTTTGTAATTTTAATTCTAATGTTTTGCTTTGCTTAATAAGTTCACCCCGTACAAAATAAGTAATTATATATTTTCTTTCGTTCTTCTTGAATTCCACTTGTTTTGTATAATTGTTTTTCATAAAGAGGTCAAAGTTCAACCCCGCTTTTGTCCGACAGATAGCGTCTTCAACCAAGAGTGGGGGCATGTTGGAGGTCATCTTATCTCTTCCTCGCATTTAAAGCGTATCATCGAGAGAAGAGACTTGGTGTAGCAGCACTGGAGACAAACTAGTTGTGCGGATTGAAATTTGGTTTTAGAGAGAGGAAGTGGGCGTAGACGCCATCATGCAACATACAGCATGGACGTTATTTTTTTCTTTGTTTTTGGCAGTAATTATGCCAATACAGTGTCAAATGCAGTCACTATTTCCCGATGAAGAAAATGAAATGAATAGGTATATGGAAACAGCTCAAAAATTGAAAGAAAGATTGCGTAAATTGAAGGAAGATTTGGATTCCTACAAAATGGTAATCGACGAGGTTATTACACCAATGTATGAAACAAAGATACTTCAAAACCAGACATCCGAGCTCACCCAAAAAGTAAACGCACAAATGACAACTTTTTCTGATCTGAAGGAAAAATTAGCTATCCACGAAACATTCATAAACGCAAGCTTATATCGTCAAGAAGATCAACTGTCCAAACTCGAACCTCAACTCGTTCATTTGGAAAATCAATGGCGCAACCAATCGTCGGAACTGGAGCAAGTGAAGCAGTTGTGGAACGACCTGGGCAACAAATCGGTGGCCCGCGCCGCCGATGTGACGTCCCTGGACCACTCCATCAAGGGGCTGGAGGAGCGTCTGACGCAGCAGGAGGAGAAGGTGAAGGCCCAGGAGCTGGAGACGACCACTCTGGACAACACCTTGCGAGAGGCGGAGGAGGCGCTGGTGAGCCTGCAGGACGACTTGCAGGAGTCGCTGAACCTGCAGGGCCGGCTGGACGGCGTGCTGCTCACCCTGCAGAAGGAGATAGCCGAGGTGCGCGCCAGCGTGGGCAGCCGCGGCGGAGGGGGCGGCGGCGGCGCGCCCGCCATCGCAGCCTCGGAGGCCGACGCGCTCTGCAAAAAGTACGTGCAACCGCGCTGCACGCGCACCCGCTGCCGGCACACGCGGACTGGGTCTGGCGTGAATTCAGTGGTGGCAACATCGCGTGGTACTTGATATTAATAAAAATAGGGAAAAGTATGTACACGTAGCATCGTAGACTTTGAAGGCCGGAGTCAATATAAGAGAAAATTTCCGTGCTGGTAGGCCGTGGTCTAGTTGGCATCGAAGGGCCGACTAGCGTACACCTCAATAGAAGCTATGACCACGGACTACCAGCCCGGAATTTTCTCTTATAAATGTATGTGTGTACACAGCCGGTCAAAAGAATTTGGACAACCATTTAAGTTTGATTTTTTTTCTCGGCGCGCTGTATTTGGCCTTGGTAGTGTAACCCAAACACAGGACACTAAAGTAGAACATTTGTCTCAATATCTCTTGTCTAGATAAACATTACTTAGGGATCATTACATCTCCACTCAAGATAATTCATTGATGCAAAGTATGCGGTGGTTGGGAAGGCCACAGTTTGCTGTGGTGTAATACGACCTATAGGTACGAGAACGAAGTTCGGACTATAAGTACATAACGGTGTTTGGTTCATAGTAGTTCAGCATTGAAAAGTACCTCAAACAACGCGTTTTGTAAAAATAAAACTAATATTTTTTTGTGAGAAACCAATTGTTTATTTTTTAAGTTAAAATATTTCAATTTATTGTATATCCAAATAAGATATGTGGATTATAAAATAGTCAATGACCGCAGTGTACAAATAAACTTACTCTCTCAATACATTTTCGCCACATTTGAAATTATTAGCTGCGTCCAAAACTTTGGACCGGCAATGTATTTACCGTTTTTGGGTGGATTATCCAACTTTGACGGCTAGCTTATTTTTTACTATTATTTTATTTAATGTTGTCTTTACAGTGTTCTGTGTACATATTAACATTGCAAATGTTTGATGGTCTTAATCAACCCTATGCTAACGTAAACGAACCTAAAATTATATACATTACAAATATGTAAAAATTATATAAAACACTGATGCTAAAACAGCACGTAATTTCTTGCCGATATTTTCAGGCTAAATTACGCGAAAAGTACTCAAATTTTCGAAAACGTTTACTTGACCTTATTTCAAAATATATCTTTAAGGAACGGATTCCATTAAAGGAAAAATCTCTATCTTTAAAATTGTAATTGCAAAAAGACTCCGAAAAATTGAGAACTTTTGCAATTTTCAAGAAATCAAGTTTTTTTAACGAACATGAGACCTGCACTATTCTCTTAAATGTCCTTCCCACTAACCAACAATAAAATTTTATAAAAAATGATGGAGCCATTATTTGAAATTTTGGAAATTACCCAGGGGCTTCATGTAATGAACCGCCCAAAAATTAAATTTTTATTTTATCGGAATATCAATCATATCAAATATCATGTATCATCATATTTATCAAATGATGGAGGAATCATATATGGAGGAAATCAGCTAAACGGTTTAGCCACTAGCGTTGTCACAACGGACAGACGGACAGACAGACGTTTTGCCGTCATTCGATTTTTCGGTATCAAAGACCCACAAAACATGAGTTCTGGCTACACTACCTGTTAGAGGTTGGATTAGTTTATTTTTGGCTTGCTTAGTTTTTACCTCTAGTTGCTTCCAGTTGAATCGAATATCGAATTTTAAGATATAATTTATTACATAATAAGCAAGAATTTTATTGTTTTATCTGTTAGTGACCAATTCATGTTGTCGTTATTTATGAATAATGCCGTCTCGTTAACGGGATCCCCATGCCTGGGCCTATTTTAATTTCCACGTTTGGAGATAAGAGAGGCATGTAGCGAACATGTATTCCCTTCACCGTAACTAGCAATCTCCGCCTGCCTGAGTTTTCCTTCGTCACACAACTACAGAAACTGAGATGGTTTTAAAGGAAAGCTACAACTCTATTTTTGCCTCGATCGGGAATCGAACTCGGGATCGCACAACGGGAAGCTAGAGCCCTACCCTTGAACCACTCAATGACTCGGAATAGGGAAGTAAATGTATTGTAACTTCAAAACGGTTAAAAAAATACTGTAACATAAGACGTGTGACGTAACTAGTTTTAGGAAATACTGCTTCCCTTTGACAGTGGTCTAGAGCAACAGAGGAACATGTTGCTCTAGATCACTGATGTTGGCAAGACTTATTCCCGTAAAATAGTTTCGAAATATGGCACTATGTTTTAATATATTATTAAAACGTATGATTTTCATGGTTTGATTACACATGCCACACAGAAAAGTTGTCAGACCTAAAGGCTTGACATGTGTTTCTCTATGTTTGTCTCTATGTATGAATTCGAATATGCAGTTCTACCTTTCAATTTTTTCTAAATCGCACAAAACCATTGTAACATTGTATCTTTGTTTTCGTGGTTAATTGACAGACCATTGACACATATTTCTCTATATATGTTGATGCGCTGAATCCGAATCTGCAGCCAGAATTGCGCTATCACCCTCCAATTTTATAAATCCCAAAACAGCATTGTGAAATTGTATTTTTTCCTCTTCGGGGGGGGGGATGTTGTCTTTGGGTCAAACAATAACCCCCGAATAGAAAAAATACTACGCCACGATGGGTTTTTCTTTGCGATTAAAGAGAATGGAAGGTGGTGGCGCAATACTGGCTTCAGATTCATACAATGTACATATGTAGTAAAGAGAAAGAAATGTAATGGTAAGGCAAAATGATTATTCATCGGAAAAACTCGTAACGTGGGGTTCCACAAGAGTTAATAAATTTTATTATTTTGTGTGCCTGTATTTTACATGTGTGAAGTCTTTGGGTTTGATAACATTTTTTGTGTGCCTGTGGCGAGTTAAGGAAGCAGCCCATGCCCGTAAGAACGCCGGGCTTCTCAGACGGGCAAGTGGCTCGTGCGAGCGCAGTTTGACAAGCCTCTCTACAGCTTATCGTTTGAAGCAGCACTGTAAATTGTGATGCAACGACAGAGCACGACCTCCGATTCCATATCAATAGGAAATTCCAAGAAATGCTTCACAGTAAATGTAAATTCAGATCTCGTTCATTATTTGGAATAGTCGCTAATAGTCAGATTGAAAGTCTAGATGTGCAAATTTTATACATGAATCTCAAGAAAAATAGTTTTAAGGAATCTCAGGAGGAGAATTGCACTGACAATTTCACGTCATTTCTGTCGTGTTGCCTTCAATGCAAAGACCTCTGCTTTGCCGTGCCACACCGTGGCCGAATCCCGAAAAGCTGGTCTAAATACAAATAAAATTAAAAATAATGTTATTGCATATCTATGAAATTGTATACAAAAATCTTTCGAGATCTCTTATAGCAATTTCGAAGTTGAAATTTAAAAAATGGCGGATCCAATGTGTTGAGTAGACATTTAAAATATGAATTTAAATAAAATATGTAATCTATAAGGTAGGTTATTCATTGGGAACTTAAGAAGCAATTAAATGAACTTTGAAGTGGAAATTAAAAATTCAAATTGTATTGCTAAATGCAATATAAGCACAGAAAATACACCCTATAAATCTGAATCATCTGTATCATGGTTTTTTCATACTTCAGATATAAAATGTTGCAATTGATAACATTATTTAGCGAAATTAAGTATTGTTGTGTTTCTGGTGATAAATGTCTTCATTTTCTGTGACAGTTTTTGTAAGCTCGAAGTAAATGGATCTGATTAGCTCTTATTCAATGGAACTGTGATGTTACTGTAGAACATGGGATTTTACAGGATAAGCAAAATCCTTAATAAATTACTTTGAACCACTTTTATACCCAAATATGTTATAGTCATGGTGTACAAGTAATAGTCATGGTGTCTTGTGGCTTGATCAAATGTTAATTCTTTACGAAGATCTTGTTAACTATCACTTTTTGCAGATTTTTTCCCGTATTAAACCTAGCATTCACCCCTTTTCTTACAATTGTGTCATTGTTACCCTTAAATGAATGAGTGTTTTGTCATAATTAACAATTATGAGATAATTTCGATCAGTCATTTAGAACATTGTCACGAGCAACAAATACCACATAATTGTATTCCACTGAATATTTAGCAACTTTTTAGCAGCATATTTTATTCGCGTAAATTGTTTGCTCTTCGCTTGACAGAATACCAAAGAAGATACTTATGACAACGTTCTACGGAAAACAGAACTGATACCAAACAGTCAACTGATGTGTTGTTGTTGTTCTTCTTCTCAAACGAGTTCTTCTTTACAATCGCATGACATTTCAACAACATAATTTTCCTCACGCCGACCAGAACCAAACAACAATTCAGTCGATATTTCTGCAGAAGTTTCATCATTTTTCTGACCTATTTACCTTCTTCCGCACACATTAGCAGTTACTTTATTGTTCCATTGTATTAGAGATGTATACTTAAAATGTCTTCCTTTGTTTATATTCTACTATATTTTTGCGACAAATCTTGTCGATAATTCGCAATAAGTTTGTTGTGCAATTCTTGCGCGCCTTCGACGTTGCCTAATTGACCCATTACCATATTGCCCAATTAGCAATATTGAGGGAACTAATAGGATTAATTATTTTGTTTCCGGGCATTTCAACTGCTATGGTCGTTAGTGCCGTAATTGTAGCGCAAGTTACATTCTGGTAGGCGGCCATGTTTCTCGTCCTTTGAAACGTTAGATGCGGCTCCGACCTTCACGTCGGTTTGCGTGGTTTCCTACTCTAGGTATTTCCGCCAGCAAAGTACCGACACAACTGGGATAAGCACTAAACTCTTGACTGGTCTCCAGATGTGTATGGTGGTGGTACATGTAAGTGTGAAAATGTTTGTGAAAGTCATGGGAGATAGCAGGACAAGGAAAAGGAAGGAAGGAACGCGTGCAGTTCGTTCCCCTTTTGTTAGCATACTGCTCCGGTATTCGCCAGGAAATTGATCTGCAAAACCACACCGATCAGATCAACCGGCCGCTAGTATTCTCCTCCAGACAGCGAGTGAATTTGGCCTAAGTATGAAGTTAGTGTCGAAAAGCTAGCACCGTCTTGACTCGAACCCTAGGACAGGAGACGCTGTAGTTTCAACAGCTGCTGCCCTGAAATCGCGCAGACGATAGAATGAGAAGAACAGATTGCGCACTATTCGTGACTCTTCTTGTAAAGCAGGTGCGACGAAAGGTGCCTGCACGAGTTTACATGCCCGCCTGGGAAGCATGTCGCTCCTACGGGCATGGGCAACTTCCCCTGACTTCGCTCGCGTTTCCCCTCGAAATCCAGAAATGGGTGTGTGAGCGTGAGCTGTGGCAGGAAAGTAAGCGAAATATAGCGAAGTATGGCTGCTATATACGACTGTATGTTTAGATTAGATTAGATTTATTAATAATTCTGCAATTAAGTTTGAGAACTCGGTGGCAGAATACACTAACTTAACATTACAGAACTTAACAACTTTACAAAATGTACAAACTTTACAAATTCAACCACACTTCACTTCACCGCGAAACACCGAGTTGTAATGTCTTTCTTACACACTCGTTTCCCTCAGTTTCACAACGCCACTGAATGGCACATTATTAATAATAATGATAATAATTATAATAATAAGAACAATAATAATATAAATAATAATAATAATAATTAATTAATTATAGAAGACACATTTACACTAAATAATACTAAATATATTTATAACACACATATCAACATTCAGGAAATTAATTTATTTTTAAATTTGCTCAGGCTTTGAGGAAAGGGATCGAAGATTGTCACAGGCGAACCGTTCCAGTCTCTAATAGTTCGATTCGCAAATGAATATTTCCCAACGTCCATTTTCTGAATTCTTGTCTGAATTTTATGTATGTGATCCGCACTGCCTAAATATGTAGGTCAGGTTATTACCTCATGATTTCTATCAAACTATCGCAATTTGAATTAAGGGTAAATTATTTAAGTGAAAACATTTGAACAAAAATATTTAAGTAAACTCAAGTAAAAAACTTAAAGTAAAACGTTTTTTAAACAATATTTTAATAAAATATAAAATTAAAAACATCATTATTTTATTTCATGTTTATTTTCGATTTAACTCATAAAGTATCGTGTTCCCCAAATGGTGATTTTCCAATTTCTGCGACTTATTTGGCAATCTGGGCCATCCAGGTCGCCAAATTGCTAAAAGTCAACATTTCAAAATTGCGAAGTTCAAGGGGAATATTTTTTCGCCTTAAAGAAAATCTCTTCTAAAAATGAGCTCTTTAAATAAGGTACTGTAAAATGTTTTTAAAAAAACGAATTGTTTTCACGTAACTTTGGTTTCAAATTAATGCGATTCATAAAAACACATTTTCTCAAAAGCGCTTCATACATTTTCTTTAATATTTATTACGGATAAAACAACTGACGCTTAAAAGAATGACGAAGGTCTCATTTTCATTGAACTCTTTGAATGTCCGAAAATTGGAAATTTCGTAATAACGCGAGAAAATATGTCTTTTTTAAGCACCACTAGAATTATTTGTGGTAATATTGTTTAAATTGATTGATTAGTGATTCCGAGCGCGTCAACTGCTAAGGTCGTTAGTCTCGTAAGTGTAGTGCGTGTCCCCCCCCCTCGTGAGGTGGCCGTGATATTTCACTTTTGGATGATGAGACCTACCTGTTGATTGGCCGGGTTGCTCTTAGCTCCTGATCGGTTTCGGGACTCGAATCCTAGGCCCTCCTGGTCAGAGGCACTGTTGATGCCCTGAGCCACCCCTCCCGGTAATATTAATATTGTTTTGTGATCAGTTTAAATTTGTATAAAAGTGGGTACTGGTTGCTGTGAAAACCATCAAAATTTTAGTTTAAATTTTTCATCTACAAAAATGTTAGGAAATATTTTAAATTTTCCGCAAGAAAACTAGATTCATTATCGCAAACGTTGTGAATGTGATTTTGTCCAGCAAAACGCGTAGTTTAGCCCTCTACTTATATGCATTATTTTACGTCTTTCATCGATTATATAAAACACATTAAACTCTCCAGTCAGCACTCACATATTTTCTCCAGTCAGCAGTCACTTTAAATACAAATTAGATTATATTGTGTTTTGCAATATCTTAAACAATAACATAGTTTAAATAATTTTATACAATTAATTTTATTAAACATTGACTTAAATAATATTTTCCTCTTGTTCTCATGTTTAAGCCTCTATTTATCACATACTTTGATATGCAATCGTATCGTGGGTGCTGTTTGCTCTACACTTTCTACTCTCAACCCACTCAAAGCCGACCTTCCAAATACCTCTAAATTTGTCAACGAATCCTTCGATGGCTCAAAGAGGAGGAAATTACTGATTCATCCAATTTTTGATGTGATCATCTAATTTAACTGTTCTGAAGAGATAAGTTGTGATTGACGAAACGTAAGGTATATGAAATTAATTTTGAATTTATGGGTTTGAAATTCGAAATCTAAGGAAACAGTCATATTTTCTTAAAGATGTTGTGGATTAAAATGAAACCCCTACTGTTGTCGCTTTTATTAAATATTTCAAAAGCATTTGGGGGCAATGGTCTTAACATTTCGCTTTCAAAATTACCTTCGTACGGAATTTGTGGTATTGTCTAAGATTGAATATCCGCTTACTTTAAAAAACGACATCAGTGAATCAAAATACTATAGTGGAATGAAGGGACATATGTTGTTCAACATTGTCAAGTAGACACGTGCTAGATTGTAAGTTATGCCTCCTTTGTTATCATAAGTTAACGATAAGCCCTCGTGACAGTTTCTTCGAAACGAAAGAGCAGTTTTCTTCGCTGATGTTACGAATATTTTTTGTTCAAAAGAAAGAGAAAATAAAATTAAAGGTTTTAAATTGATTTAATTTAACAAATTAATATTCACAAAATAAAACTTTTTTAATGAAAACCTGAAATGGAATGCTCATTGAAATGAAATAGACACTTAAATTCAGAATTTTATGTTTGCATTCAAAATTCTTTCAAATTCAGTTTTCATGTAGCTCGTTGCGTGTACTTTACAAATATAAAATCTCGCCTGAGATATCGCATAATTTTCTGGGGAAACATTCTGTAGGGCCAAGACTTTTAGATTACAAAAAGAACTTGTATGAATAATAGGCAAATATAATCCTTGCGATTCCTGAAAGGCTCTTCTTATTAAGCTTGAAATACATTACAATTATGTATCCTCTTCACAATTGGTCCTGTTCTTGAAAAAAGTAACTTATTGAAGTGTGGACCAATTCCGTGTATACAGGTATCTATAATCAAAACACAAGTACGTTGTTTTTCAATACAATGCCTGATGACATTAAATAATTAAAATTTATTCACAAGTTTACATACTTTGTGTTCATAATTGTCTCAATAAAGTTAGAGACAGTACTGATAATCAAAAATTAAAACAATGCTTGCTTAAGAATGATTTTAATTTAGTTAAAACTAGTCTCTTTCAATGAATTTGGCCATCACATCGATGAATATAATGAAAACATTATTTTCCACTAATATAATATATTTTGTCTTTATTCCATACATTTATTATTGTATTTTGCATGTGACTACTGTATTTAACTAATGCTATATTTTCGCTAATTCAGAAAATTAATAGTAATGTCACACTTGTAATTTTTATTAAATAAATAAAACAAACTATTCCAAACTCTTAATCTACTGTACAAGAGTATGGAAAACAACGTAAAATATCGTTTATCTGTGCAGGCTTTCGAGTGGCTAGAAATATCAAGAAATTTAGCAACATCAATAGCTCCTGAATTCGTCGATAAATGTAAGTGTGTCCTTAATGTACGATAAATTAAGTCGCTTTGGGAACACAGTCCCACTCATATTTTACTCTCTGCTTTCAGATTACCTGTGTGAAGAATCGAGTTTAATCTTTTAATTGAGATTTCAACAAAACACGAAATAGGATATTAATTTCAATTTATATTACAGCCAAATAAACATTTTAAACATGTTTTGTCGGCACTAAGAGCAGCAATTAATCTTGCCATCGTTATTAGCATTCGTCTTTGGAGTAAACAGATTCATGAATGTAAATGTAGCACCCAAGGATTATTCATTGTAAACATAAACAAGAATATAAAGAGTTTTTTTTATATTTGTAATATTCCTTCACCCTTTTATCTGGGATACATATCATTATATCATCCTATTTCACATGTTCATATATCTCAACTCAAAAATAGAAATGATAATGAACTTAAAGTAATAAAAAATAGTACTGACATGAAACGAATGTATGAGCAAATTAAGCAATAAAATAAAAAGAAACTAAAGAAAAATAAGTTGTAAACTCTAAAAGAAAAATAAACAGTAATAACTCTAAAACTTAGAAACACAGCAACATTTTTTTTAAGACAAAATCGTTCATTTTTGTTTTAATTTGACGCCAAACGTAATATTTTACGAAAAATTTTCTTTTAAAATAGTATCTCACGAAATCGAGGCTTGTTTTACTGCTGGGCAACAAAACACACGGACCGCGACACGAATGCCGCTGGGAACCTCACTGCAATGAAGTGATCTACACTCCATGTAGTGACCAATAGTGAGCAGAAACTAAAGAAGCGCGTAAATCTACTTGCCGAGGTTTTTTACAATTAATAGATTTTATTTTTGTATTTTATGATATAACCAAAAGTTTTTCATCATTATCATTAATTTTTTAGATGCTTTCGCCAAGATAATTAATCGAAGTTCAGAGTAGTTCTTAGTCGCAGGAATGGAGCATGAACTCAATGAATACTAGCATACAAACAAATCGATTTCTTTCACGTAATAAAGGATAACAAGTTATCAGATTTCACTTCACCCACCAAGAATGCGGAGAGAGCATAAAACGTTTCTCTTTTGGCACGACAATGCGAGTGAATCCTGCCTGGATCCGACATACGATGCCGGAACAGCACCGGAACCGTTTCAAATTTTTTTGTTGGCGTAAACCTGTACGAAACGAACAAAATTACGGTTCGATGCCCTGCCTCAGAGGATTTGCCTGGAGCCACGCGGAGGTAGGCGAGAGAGAAGTAGACGAATGGCGTGAGGGAAAAGTGGATTGAAACGCTAGATGAAGGGAGGGAAAACGAAACATGCGGTGGGCATCATGGCGCCGCACTAGCAATGGCGGTGGAAGCAAAATGGCGACGAGAGCGAGATGGCGCTCTCCGCGCGCCGCTGCGTCGCGAAAGCTGGAGCGCCGCCGCGCGGATCGGCGGCTGGGGGGGGGGGGGCGGCAGAGCAGGGGGCAGGGATGTCGCGGAAGTGCGCGGTGACAGGCGAACACGCGGAGGCATCCGCAGGGTGCGGGCGGCGCCCGCGGACCCAGCGCCGCACGCGACGCGGGCGCCGTCCCCCTCCGCCCCGCTCCTCGACGCTGCCACCGCACCGGACGCCTCCCCCGCGCGGCGGCGGCGCGGCGGGAGCAGACGGGGGGCAACGCGCCGGGGGCCGTGCGAGGGGCGCGGCGGGCCCGGGCGCTCGCCCAGCGGCGGAAAGAGTTGCCACAACCGCGACAATAGCGGCACGCCACACTCAAGCAAACACTGACCCCGCGACGTCACCCCGCCCGCCCCTCGCGGCCCGCCCACCGGCCCCCCGCGTCCCCTGCCGCCCAGCGCCCCCCGGAAGCGCGTCCACAAAAGCCAACATCCGGAGGGCAGGTAATCAAGGCCAGAGGCGGCGTATGGGGCTGGCGAGCCGCCCCAGCTGCCCAACAGTCGTGTCGGTGCCACCGCTCGGTCCGCTCAGCTTCCAAAGGATACCTCTCCTCATCGTTCGAATCGTGACTGCTCCTCACCCCACGAAGACATCGGAAGTCGACACACGCGCTCGGGTCTGGCGACGGTATCATGCCCGCTTGATTTTTCTGGCTGGGATACATGAGCAAAATGAGAAGGAAACATTATCTCCCAAGTATGGTGCATGCAATCACAGTCATCACGGTTCTCAAAATGATGGCCAATGGTGAGTACATAGACGATCAACACGTTTTCTCTTGTATTTCACCATCTTACTCATCTGTACACCAACTATCAATGTCACTGATATTCCCAAGGGTTTAATGTACGATCTAAAGAATAAGATCTATGCACTTTATTTATTTTATCACCAATAATTCACGATCGACTTGTGTAGCTTCTGAAACTTCTTATTCTTGAACAATCGTGTCTTTTAAATTACTTTCCCTTCCCTGAGGACCAGCTTTTCGACAAAATAGTTCATGGTTTTCCTGTGTGTTAGTGCGACGGTAAAGAAAATCACAAATATGGCGAGTGTATGTGCGTGTACGTACGTGTGAGCTCCTGTGCGTGGCGGACTTCGAGTGCATGTGTTTGAAGCGGACCAGAAATAATATGAACTCTGAAGGTGTAAAGGAATCCAGCATTACGAATCTTCACACGTGTACACTAAAATTGTTTTCACCTATTAATGTGTAAAATGCTGAAGGTGGCTGGAAGTAAGAGACTAAGCCTAATGTAATTTTGACTTTTTAAAACTAATATATTTTAGAGAAAAATAGTTGATTTGGTTTCAATTCGTTTAGAACAATATTATTTGAATGAACGTGGTTTCGAAAACAAGCCCATACATGATAGATTAAATGTATTTAATTCGGGTTATTAAGCTGGCGGATTGAACATTTTCAAACATTTATTTTACGTAAATTTTCGTTCATTGATTGATTTCGGGCAGCGCTAGGGTTAATATTCCCAATAGTTTAGTAAATGTTTTCTCCTTGGAGGTAGCGGTGATTCCTTCCCCACTGGATGGCGACAATCTACCGCTGATCTACACATCGACGGGACTAGCTCTAAGCTTCCGACAATGTGATAGTGAAGTGCATATAAATGTGTGTGTGTGTGTGTGTGTGTGTGTAAGGGAAGAGAATTTGACAAGGAAGAGGATGAATCGATTGCGTGCGGACTACAACCCGTTTCTTAGGGTATTGCTCGGGCATTCGCCTGGTATTGATAGAAGAAACCACAGGAAACTACCGATCAGAGCAGCCGGTCGCTAGAAATTTTCTTCAGACAGCGGTTGAACTCGATGTAATTACACAGCTAGCATCAAAAAACTGCCACTATCGAACCTAGAACCTTTCAGGCAGATTCACTGCAGACAGCAACAATACTGACTCTGAGCTAAACTCAGCCGGTTTTATTCGTAATCATATATCAGGTTAGGATCGAAAATTAATTATGTCGAGAGCAAACTTGTATTTCATGCCTTAGAGCATGTGAGAGAGAAAATGTGCAATTTTCTTGGAGCGTTAGTAATTTTAAATTGATGATAGTGTCACAATTATATCCAATGTATCAACTGCTACAATGCATTCTACTTTTATGAGATAAAAACCTGCGATTCGCAAGGGACGTAATGACGCAATGACGTAATTCTGTTGTAAGGGAAGTGATCGCTCTTGCTTTACTAAATTATTCAATGGTCTATCAAATTTAAATTAATCTAATAATCATGCAAAAGACGGTGTGTTGAAAAATTAGGAAAGTATTTTGAGAAGAATTAAAGACCATTTTCTTGGAAATGGTCTCTCTCAAAATTATTGGATTAGCTATGAAGATATTAATTTATGTTGAATTCCGGAATTACTTCATAGTATAATGAGGATACAATATTTAATTAAAATAAGTAATTGAAAATCATAGAAAATGTTTTACAAGTTGAAAAATAAAATAGTACGAAAATACTTGCTATTCTATCATAACTTAAACACAACTAAAGTAATGAGGTTTGTGCAGTATTGTGTCATATTAATTGCCTGAAACGAATAAAACACAATTGATGATATGATTGATAATACGAAAATCAGGTTAATACTTAGTTTTAATGTCAATTCACCATGTGAACTAGAAGATTATCTATAATTACTGTATTGGGTGCCAAATAATATTATCAATGTCACTTTCTTAAAAAAGATAATGTTATAAATAGAAGAGCGTTAGTAGACTACGAGTACAGAAAATATATACTTAAATCATAATCACTAATATGTATTTATTTTTATTGTGTGTTACCCATTTACCATGCTGTATGCAGATTATTGTATATGTTTATCACATGTTAAAATGCATGTCCTTAATATTTAAAGTAAAAAGGAATTCATAAAATCTTAATTAGAAAAATTGATTCTAAATGTATTGTAATATATATTACGAGTTTTGAAAATTTCTCCTTAATGAATAACTGCATACACAGTAAGAATTTAATAATATAAGTATTACACAATAAAAGCAAATAATTTCAAATATATTCTAATTGTTTGAATTAAAGAAGTGAAACAAAAATTAATAGTCCGTTTTCTCGAATTTAATTTGACGACAATGTTATGGATTTTACATTTGAAAATTATATTAGCACCCAACAATTTAAATTTTATTGTAACGTATTTTTAACATGGGATTACTAATAACTCGGGAAGGTGGATGAACAATATATATAAATATTCTCACTTTCTCTGTCTGTCTGTCTCTCTCTCTCTCTATCTATCTATCTATCTATCTCTATCTCTATCTCTATCTCTCTCTCTCTATCTCTCTCTACCTATCTATCTATCTCACCCTCTCTCAATATTATTATTGTCAAGTCTTCATTGTGATCTACGGGCTTTTGACTGTGATCTTAGGAAGCATGTAAGAAAGCCAAGAAATAAAGGATGTTTCTATTCTTTTAATTTCTTTTTCACATCACAGATCAAGTGAGATTAAAGAGCACCAAAAACAAAACCCTCAAGAGGAAGTATCATAATCAAATATAGAGAGTATTTCTAATTAGTCTTTCTACAGAGCAATTAATTTTCATAATATTTTATTGTCACGTTAAATTGTCGAAAATCAACGTAATGTGAAGTTCAAATTATGTTGTTTCAAAACACTGTTTCTAAAAATCCCACCTCGGAAGATCATATCAATGGAATGAGTTATCTTTTAAACAAATAACACTCTATTCTCCTAACGGAAAGGTCAAACTATTCGTAGGTACAGGCACAAAAACGCAAGGCTATATGAGTGTATTTTAGCTTGGTTATGGCAGGGCGTAATGCGATATGAAGCAATTAGAGCCGCATCTGCCCATGTCCTAACCCTACAGCCCAAAAGTAAAAGTAGACCTGATTCGTGAGACAAAATGTTTTGTTTTCTTTTGTTTTTGTTTTTTCAATGTGTCAATTATTACATTTCGTTTCAGTAGTGAAGGGGTTATTGGTTATATTTTGATTTCGCAATATAATATAATATAATGTGCCATGTGCTTTATTCTTCTTTTTCGTCCGACATGAATAACGTACTCAGTCTCAGAATTCAGGTTAAATGAGGATTTTTCAAAACATTTTAGTTTGTGT